CTAACTCATATCTCACACACACGTACACCCTAAGGTTGGACATTCCTTTTTATTATTTTACAAAAATGGAATCACAGTATATAGTTCTCAGTATCCTCCTTTTCTCATCCATTTTTATCTTGACAAACTTATTCTCAAGTACAATATAGGTTAAGCTAACCCTCCTGGTTCTGCTGTACTCACTCCCTCATAAGCTATCCTCCAAGAACCAGAACTTTTGAGTCAAACACACAAAATTATTGCAAATCCTATGGGAAATAAATTAAGTTATATGATAAAGACATGTTTAGTTTCCAGAGAAAAATGGAGCATATGAACTAATTCTTTTTGTTTGTTTATTAATCCTCACCCAAGGATATTTTTTCCATGGATTTTTGAGAGTGGAAGGGAGCGGGAGAGATAGAGAGAGAGAAACATCAATGTGAGAGAGACACATCTATTGGTTGCCTCCCACATATGCCCTGACCAGGGGCGGGGAGGGAAACTGCAACCCAGGTAATGCCCTTGACCAGAATCAAACCCACAACCCTTTAGTCTGTGAGCCGTGCTCTAACCAATGAGCCAAAACGGCTAGGGCTGAACTAATTCTTATATACTTATTTACTACCTAGATGTTTTTCATGAGTGAAAAAATTATAGCATATAATGGCTAAAGGAGACCTTAGAGATCATCTAGTCCAGTCTTTTTTGGGGGGAGGGAGGTGCGGGGGGGAACCCCAATAAACAAGGATTTATTTGGAAATTTCTAAACCTGCCTCAAGTGGCACTTTCCAAACCCTAGGCCTACCTTCCTTAACAAGTTCTCCCCACTTCCCCCTGCCCTCCATCAAGCAAGCACACCCACACCTCAGGCCATGCCAGAGAACTTGAGTGCCCCTTCCACTAGAAGGCTTTATAGCCCTGGACCCAAGAGCTAGGGTGGCAGCCCTCTGGCATCCCAGGAGATAATGGCGGCCAGAGCCGCTGGCATAGATTGAAGAAAATAAAGGAGGAGGCACCAAATAGGACTCCCTAAAAAAACCCCACTGTACAAAAAGTGGGTCCCGCATAGGAGAACCTGCTCCCCAAATAATGTAAATACCCAAAGGAAAAGAACAAACCAGTAACAAGGCTGGGCTGGTAGGAATGGCAAAGAACTTCAGTTTAGAAAGGCTAGGAAGACTGTAAGTTGTATCCCTCTTCCTTGTCCAGCTCCCCAGAGCCAGCCAGGAAACTCGCCCCAGAGGGGAGTCTGTAAACAAGCAAAGCCAGGGGCCTTTGGTTTTGAAACCCATCAGTTATAATATCAAAGCAAGGCCTCCAGTAGTCCTACTTGGGCCTGCCTGCAGGGGGCAGAGGCATCCGTTGTGAACCCAATTAAAGCCAAAGCATCAAGTAAGTAATAAGGCTTTGGGGGTCAAGCAATAAGGAATTCTACCACTACATTTATGAAACTAAAGCTGGGAAGTAGGTGACAGGAGATACCCCTCACTCCCTTCTTTATCCTGTGCCTGTGTCTGCAGCCTCAAATGATGGTCTCTTCCAGGCTGAGAAGGAAGGGAGGGATCCCTGTTCAGTTAGGTCAGGCGAATTCCCAGCACCTGTTCCAGTTCCTGCCTTGGCCGCTGCATCTTGACAAAGATATGCCTTCCCAGTGCTTCCTGGGTCCGGGGCTGGTGGTCGGAAGCATCTCATCTCTCAGGATTCCCAATCACATCAGAGATGATCTTGAGATCTCAGTGCTGGGAACGAAGCCACTCCTGGATGGGGGGTCAGTGCTAAAGCTGAGCATGAAATCCCTCTGGGTCTTCAGCTGGTTGATGGACTCAATGGTCTCATGGATCTTGATATCAAGGGAGGCAATCTCCTACTGATTGGTGGTAGAGGCCAGAAAATTGCTCATCTGAGCCTTGAGTGGGTTGGCCACCTCCAAGGGCATAACAAGCTGTCTTCTTCTGGTTAGGGTCCAACCTAACGAAATGGTTGATAACAATGGGTTCTGGGTGCTGCAGCAACCCAGCCAGCTTCATAGGAATCTCGGAGAAATCGTCGACCATAGCTGAGATCTGGCAGAAGTAATGGCTGGAGTTGATATACTCATGCTCATGCTCATCCTGTAGCTGGTGGTGTTTGATATAAAGCCTCAGGGACTGCACTCCCAGCAGCCTTGCCAGCAGAGGTCCAACCTGTACTGGTGAGGCTGATGATCCACATGAGCAAGAGGGTACACTTGACATTGAGATCTCCAGGCCATTTCACCTGGAAGCCATCCGCCTGCTGGGTAGTGGGCATCCGATGCCTCTCCAATAGGTGGTCGTCAGGTCAGTACAGTTCCTTATTAGCTCAATGACGAGGCTCTTAAAGAATGAAGAGAACTTCCTCTTCTGTTTGCTAGGATCATCCAGGAGTTTTCCCTCCTCTCAGAGTTCCCACCTGTCCCCCGCTGGGGTTCCCTACAGTTCCTACACTGTCACCTTCTGCCTTGCTAGGACTGAACATATTGGAAATACAGATCCACAGCTTTCGTTTTCACGGCAGAGGCTTTTTGATGGCCTCCTGGATCTCCATCTGCTTGCTAGCAATGGTCTGGTCCAGCTTCCACTCAAAAGTCAAGAAATCCATGTATACCTGAGACTCTGGGACAAACTCCCAAATTCGTTGAGGTAGAACCTTATCTGCCATCTTCCTCCTCTTTAACCTGCAGTGCTAGCAGGCATTGGGGGCTGGGCCTGGGACACAAGCAGGTATTTTCGGAATGGGTCCATCATGGTAGGTGGCATGCCAGGTCGAAGGGGAGTAGCTATGCCAAATGGGGAACTCGCAAGGGGTTCCACCTACAAGCCAGCCATGGACATCCAGCTCCCTGGTGACATGCCAGGCCACCGGTCCTGCACTACAGGGCCTGCAGAGCCCATGGGATGGAAGGCAGCAGCCCCAGGGGCCCCTCATACCTCCAGCTGGCCCTGGCCTGCTGAGCACTGGTCCTGGGTTGGCTTGCATAATACTAACTCTTATTCTAGACACAAAGTAACAGATATAAAACCACTCCATACTCATTACTTTGATTTAAAATTAAGCATGATTCATTATTCTGAAAAATGGTAAATAAAGGAGAGTCAGCATTTCCTTCCTTCCTTCCTTCCTTCCTTCCTTCCTTCTTTCAGAGAGGAAGGGAGAGGGAGAGAGAGAAATGGAAACATCAATGATAAGAGAGAATCATTGATCGGCTGTCTCCTGCACGCCCCCTACTGGGGATCGAGCCAGCAACTCGGGGATGTGCCTTTAAACAGAATCAAACCTGGGACCCTTCAGTCTGCAGACTGATGCTACCCACTGAGCAACCGGTTAAGGCTACCCTGCTATTTCCATACGAACTATACCCCAGGGCAGCCAAATAGATGCAAGAATAAAAGATTCTAAACTTGAGAGGTTTCTTTTTTTTCCAGCAAAACAAAATAACATAAGGTTTTTTTCTTACAAATAAAGTAACATGTTTTCCTTAAAATCAAAAACAAGAACACTACATTTTAACTAGGTAACACCTATTTTGTCAGAATGTAATTTGCTGCTAACCCACCTTACTTAAAAAAAAAATCTTCTTTGTTGAAAGTATTACATATATTCCCCCTTTCCCCCCATTGACCCCTTCTAGCCCTCCCCCACCACCTAATTTTTTTTATAAGAGGAATATTCATCAATAAGCATTAACTCAGCAAGTACAGAGACTTTAAGGCAGTGGTTCTCAACCTTCCTCACGCCGCGACCCTTTAATACAGCTCCTCCTGTTGTGGTGGC